AAAAAAAAAGACAGGAAGTAATGAAAATGCCAAGTGTTCCAGGGCTGCCCGATAGATGGCGCCAGTGTGAGCCAGCCTTTTATGTGACCACATCTTCACAATTTGCGCGCTGCCGTATTCGTTTTATTCTGATGGAATCGCATTTTTGTTCTTCTTTAACGCTCCTTATCATCGTGGATCGTTGCCCTCGGGGGAACATGCGCGAAAGGCATCAATATTGACAAGCGGGTGTGACGGACGCGAGTGGCATCCTGTATAGCCTGAGCGTCCACACGCATAGAGGGCGGCACTCGCTCTAGGATGGTAATTAGATAAGCTTGTTGACCCTTGTCCGGATAAGTGTGCCGATATTTCAGAGTGCTCCCAACCGCTCGATCGGGGTTCACGCGGTTTGTTGCCGCATTTGCAGTACGAAGCTGCGAGGAGATGACGAAGGCGTTGATCGTTCGCAAGCGTCTCCGTCTCTTCAACCGCTTTTCTCCTCGCCGCGCCTCAACAACTTGCGACCAGTCTGTTCAAGTTGCGTCCGCCATTAAACTGCAAACGCTCGTCGTGGTCTCAGTTGTTCGTTCTCTTTAATACGAGCGCTCTAGTCTGGATCTTGAGCGAAGTAACTGGGACGGGCCTGGGACGTTGTTTTTTGTACTTATTTTTTTTTTCGTTTCTTCGCTAAAAGCGTCACTTTGCATTTTTTTTTCTCTCCCCTTTTTATCAGTGATGCATTGTCGTAACACGCTGCGGTTTCTCACGGGGTCGTTAGTTTTTCCTTTTTTTTTTATTCCTTCTTTTCGCCGGTTAGGTTTTGGGATGAGTGCTGGCGGCTTGATATGGGGTTTCGTGGCCGAAGCGGTCAGCGGCGTGCTCTTTTATCACTGCCCGACGCTGCGCTAGGGTCGGCTTGGTTCGGGATGTTTAGTAGCTTTTTTTTTTTTTTAATGTATAACATTAGGCTGGTGGTTTTGTGTCCGACGCGTGTCGTCGGGTTGTCTTGTTTGTCTGTTGCCGGAGGCTCATTACGAGCTTGGAAGAGTAATTGAGTTAAGCTGGGGTAATCTGTTGCACTGTTTGGCGACTTTTTGCTTTAATGGACTCTTTTTGTTGTGAATTTGATGTATCCTGAGCCGGATTCTATTTTGCGAGGGAGATGTGTGCCCGCCTTCTTTCACGCAATAATATGTTGTTGTTTTTTACGTTGCTAAAACATAATTGACTAAGAAGCACTTAAAAGATCAGTATTAGTTACGTGCTTTTCGTGTTGTTTCTATATTTTGTTTTAGAATATGTCACGCGCTCGTTTTAGCACATCGTCTTTCTTATGTTTAAAAAAAATTATGACAGTTCTATGGTAGTTACATGGTGGTAAAGACGTCTGTGAACCAGACGTCTAGCACACTGCTGATGGTTATTTATACTTTGTACGACTAACTCTCGAGTAGCGAATGGTGGCTAATCTGAATAAGTAAATACTTAAGTAACGGAAGTAACAACATGGGTTTAACAAAATAACATGGAAATTGACTTGACACCTCCCAAAATTGTCACAGGAGTCAAAAAAAAACTATATTGTTTTTTTTTTGTCTTTTTTTGGTATGGTAGTTGGGGTATGTAGCTTTGAAAAAATAATTGATTCAGGTATTGATTTTCTTTGACGGTTAGGTCGTATTTCTTTATTATTTTTTCTTATTTTTAAATACATCCTGATACACGCAAGCTACTAGCTCCTTTCGATTGTTTTATTTTTGTTTACGAGTATTTACAAGGCGCATCGTAGCCACTAACCCGAAAAACAATAGCTGTAACTAAAAGAAACTTTCAATAAGCTCAAAAAATATTTTTTCATCCGCATTAGACAAGAAATAATTTTATGATCAAAAGTATTTAAAGATATATTAAATTATTGATTTAAAGAGCAGAAAGCAAAGTCATTCGAAGAGCAGTGACGTTTACGTTTACGTTCACATTTACGTTTACGATTATGTTAACATTTTTACAGTAAGCGGACGTTTATGTCGCATATACGTTTACGCTTACATTTACAACAAGCGAACGTTTACATCCAATTTACGTTTAATTTCTGTTTACATCCGCGATCGGAATGTAAATTACTGGTGGCCACAGGGAACTCTACTCATAGAGCCATTGTTCCTCATGTCTCTGTATTGGTGGTCCCCATTCGTGAAAACGAGCACATTGAAGTTCGGCTTGAATGACCTCGTTGCTCGGTTAGGAGGTGTTTGTCCACGAGTGTCGCTCCCTGTTTTGATTTTACCGCCTTCATTGCTGTGAAGAGTGCCTCATGGCAGTACATTGATCCGAATATCGACGAGAGCTTCTGATCTGCGAGCTCAACGTAAAAAACGCAATGCTCTCCTTTCTTTTCTTTTTTTTGGAGGGGGGGGGGGGGGGGTGATTGCAAAGATCCACACGCATCTCGGAAGTCACATCTGGCCACCCCTGTCATAGTGTATTGACTCGTATGAGTAATTCTTTTCGTTCTGGGTTAGAAATGATCTTGGCTAAACGACTGTTCCACACGCCATTATCAGTTTTGCTGGCACACCGGGAACGGAAAGAAGTGAAATATTAGTCTGCGCGCCGTATATACGAGAAATACGGAGAAACATCAATCATAAACCTATACTGCTATTTTGACCGTCGCCACTTAATATGGACACCCACAATCTGTTTGGCTTTTACGGCGTTCTGTTCAACCTCAAGACAGGTCGCAGCAAACGTTACGAGCCATGCCAGCCAACCTGCAGCGCTGTGCATGTAATTCATCAAGGGTGAATTACGCGCCTTAGGGGACGCTGCTCCACTCTCGAATGTCACGTGACACGTCAGCAGCGTTGGATTGGCTTCGAGCGTCGTTCGAGGTTTCCCGTGAAGTGAAACGGACTCTAGCAGACGTATTTGGGGCTCCGAGCTGCGACAACCCAAGATGGATGCGGTCTTGATGCGAGGCAAAAGGGTCGCTCTGTATACTAGAAGGGCGGCTAAAAAAAAAAAAAGAAAAGGGGGTGGAGCTTCTCGTGACTGCGACCAATAGGAGGAAGCAGAGTTATTAAGAAACACGAGAGAAAACGTTCTGCGGCCTTCGTTGATATATGATGCCGTAGTGCTCGAGGGGTTCCTCGGGTGGGCGATTTCCTAAGACGTCTCTCGGTTGAAAGAGCGTGAATATTTATGAGCGCGCGAGGGATTAATCATGTTGCTAGAAGTGATGAGTCGAACCGTGTCGGTAATCTGCTGGATTTGTTTTACTTATCCTTCTCTTTTCGTACCCTATCAAACTGCGTTTTTTTTTTTTTTGTCCCTGATTTTGTTATTTGGAACAGATATATTTTTTGGAACTGCGCTGGCCAGCCAGTTTTGTACTGAATACTATTTTGTTACTTCTCAGGGATAGATTTGGTTTTGGGAGAAGGGGGCGGGGGGGGGGGGGGGGGTAGGTCGTGCAAGTCGTTAGTAGATACGGTGTTGATATGAAGGCTACGTCCTAGGAACTATGCTGCTTCGTTTCACTTTACGACGCAGTTGAAACTAGGAACCGTTCCAGCGAATCCAACGCTGTGAGCCTGTCACGTGGCTGCGCGTCACACGTGTCGCTGCACATTTCACGTTGCTCACGTGACACACACATGGCATTGCATTGGCCCCGATAGTTAGATTGCTTCCCTTGCGGTCCGTCATGAAGTGAAACTGTGGATGCAGTTCTAGAAGATTAGGGTGCACTAGAACGGAAAGACTGCGATGATTTCGGCCCTTTGATCTTACGTTTAATTACACTCTGTCCGCAAAGAGATGAAAGCCATTAATGACTTTCCAAATGAGTCTCTTTTTGCCGAGGATCCGGACAGTCGTTTCATAAGTATATGTTTCAAGTTTTTTTTTTTTGTAAGTGTTTGTTAAGTTTAAGTGGTGCTATAAAAAGGGGTGCTAACAACATCCAGCGATGAAACAAATAAATCAGGGAACCCCCAGTTGGCCCAATTTTTTTAAATGTGGTTTTTAATATTTTTTAACTTTTGATTGGCTGGGATGCTTTTTTATGTTAGTTTCTGTAACTCCAAAAGACTTTTGTATGAGATGAATTATTATATTTGATTTTGTTCCACAGGCACTCGCGATTTGCATACGTGCCACTCGCGATTTAACTGCGTCCTAGTTGCCGGGTGCCGCCACGTTCCACGCGCTTTTTTCCCCGTAGTTGTGGAAAGCTGAAAACGCACAATGCGTGACGTGGCTGAGAGCCCCAACGTCAGGAGATTCTGATGATGACGAAACAAAAGCTTTTTTTCTTCTTCAGATTATGAGGAGGAGGGGGAGGGTGAAGATGGGGGGGGGGGGGGCGTGATCCTGCGACCAAATTTTCAGTGTTCCTTCAGAAACTATACGGATGGCGGCATGATTGAAATACTTTCCTCTTGTCTGAATAGAATGGCAAGTAGACTTCAAATGAAAACAGACTGAATGATTTTTTTTTTTAATTTGTCTCATGACTTGTCGAAACATTTTCCAATTACTCCACAACGTTCAGGGGCACGGTGAAAGAAGAGAGAGATGTCGGAACAAGGCCATATAAGGGGTCTAAATTCCATTCGGGCTTCGCGCATCTTCAAACAGAGACGCTATCGAGTTGAACCTTCTATGAGTACCCAAATGGCGGAGTCAGAGTATCGCCTTTCCTTTTCCTTTCACGGCAAGCTCCTGATTTTTGGCGAAGGGGCCACATGCGCCAAGCTTTATACTTTCGCCCTTGCGGGGAAGTCGCCTTGAAGAGTGCCGGGTTTGGGACATGTGTCTCGCTTTGCGCCTGCTCTGCGCTAAGCACCAAAATGGCGGCGCCCACAAGAAAGTTTAATAGGGTGCCTATACTCTCAGCGTTTAGGGGCTCTAGACTTTTCCTCAGCACGAAGCGTCTTTCCAGAGTGTTGTCCGGCGACTCGGCCGCGGCGACGCTCTTGTACCACGCACCACCGCACCCCACGTGTTCCCAGGATCACAAGGACCGTGAGTGGAAGTTCGCCCGGTCCAAGCTGTGGATGGGCTACTTCGACGAAGGATCCACGCTGCCGCCGCCCTTCAACCTGGTCATCAGCCCCAAGTCGGTCTGGTACTTCCTGCGCTGTCTCCTCCGCCTCTGCCGCTTCCTCTGCAAGAAGACCTTCTTCCGGAGGCCGCGCTTCGATCACTCCTCCGTCAAGGTGGGTCACTAATTGCAATTAATTAATTAACTAATTAATTATATGATCAGTAAACCTATCAATTAATAAGAGAACAAGTCAATAAATAATTAATAGACCAATCGAACAATCGATAATCTAATGAACCAGTATGACAATCAATCAATCGATCAATATAACAAACAATCCATGAGGAAATCATTCAATCAGTTGATTATCCAGTCAGCCGCTCAGTCATCAACCACCTATGAATTAACGAATCTATCTATGATATTGTTAACCGGTCTGATGATTTATTTATGAATTAACAAATCGTTCTATATATTCTTTGTTATTCTTATAAATTACTCATGAATTAACGAATCATTCTATCGCAGCATTACCCAATCTGATCAATTACCGAAGAATTAACGAATAATTCAATCCTTCTATCAATCAACCAACCAGTAAATTAGTCAGTCTCATAAATTTTCCACAAATTAGCAAATCATATTAATCGACCAATTAAAACGACAAACACTTTCATTCTTCGATATGTGTAGTGACATGTAGTGCTTGTGGGAAGAGTCACTGTTTGCTGAATAAAGCATTACACGACCGAACCCAAACTCAGTTTCTCACAAGCGAACACGAGATTAATGTAATTTTTTTTTGCATGTTTCTGTCCTCGGCAACAAAAGCGTCGCTTCTATCTCTTCAAATTGCCACAACCGAAGCTATTCATTGTGGCACTTTGGGCGGTTCTGCTGGCGTGTCGAAAACGGGAGGATGAAACAGAAAGCACTTTGATCTGTCACCCAACCAAAAGCAAAATACGCACATTAGTGGCCTCGCTGAGACTTCGATAGACGCGAAAAAAGAAAAAAAGAAAAAGAACAACAACAACAACAACAATGTGGAGCGAGATATAGATATCCTCCATCGCTCCCAGAGTTTGGGATCTAGGGGAACAGAGAAAAGATGACAGGCTGTAAGGGACGTGGCAGTGGCGCCGGGAATTAATCACGGAAGGAATTAGGGGGTGGTGGTAAGAGGTGCCGCAAATATCTTTTTTCTTGCTTCTTCTAATTTTTATAGGAAAGGAATCTCATTGCCTCGTTCTATTATTAAAAATTGAAAACAATACAAAAATGTTGAAAGGGTCTGTGTGAACTTTTCACGCAGCTTGCATCAATGCACCACGAGAAGAGAAATCACCTTCGATTACCATTGGTGTGGCCAAAGGCTAGAGGGGAGGCAGGTGTTGGGTATGGTTAGCTGCGCTATGGTCGGTTCCAAGGCGAGAAGATGGAGAATAACTCCCGCAGATAAGCCTTTATTTTCTCCTGAACTTCATACCTGGTCGGCGGAATAGAAAAGAAATAAATAGTGACGCCAGTTTGAGGATATTAGCGTGTCATCACTATTCAGTGCGCTCCTAGGGCTGTGGTTCACGGTCACGATGTACGTTCCGAAGGGTGCGGACGCATATTTCTGTCTGCCCCTGTGTTGCCCGCATGATTGTGTGGTTTTCTTGCATGTTATTTTGTTTACCTTGATTCCCTGTCGATGTGCACACAGCAGTTAGCGTCATAACTTACCCTAAAAACCCACCGCCAAACCTTTAGTGGGCGCCCATATGCTGTGTAACAAGGATTTTCTAGTTGGACGCACTCTTATTCCAGGCTCTCTAGATTGTCTCCGCGATGGTTCCGCCATCTCTCGGCAAGCGCTGCAAACATGGTCGTCGTTTTTTATGGTTGGTCCTTGGCTCCGCGCGCGCTTGGTGTTGTTATTGGTTGAAACTCATTTTTCAGTTCTGACTATTTGCGGGGGCGGACTTTAATGGTCGATGTGCACACGAAAAAATAGGAGCTCTCTCGTTTCTTTATCTCTGTTCCATAATAGAAAATAACTTTCATTCTGTCTTTGAGGATTAAAGGGATGAGTAGAGAGAGAGTTGTGTGAGGAAGAACGGAGAGAAGAAAATCCGGAAGGGATTTTCCGCAAAGCTCGAATTAAGTTCGTGCGTGCGCTTGTAAACATATGGGACGGTATGGCCGGCTGTGTCCTTTTGAGTGTGGGAATAGGGGTTGCAAGAAAACTAAGTCGGCTCTTGCTATAAACATATATCAGTGTAGACAAAATATATGTTTTCAAAGTAATTATGGCAATTGCAACGTCGGAATCGAACACCAAATGTGAAATCCTATGAAGCTCTTTATCTAATAATGATAATAATCTTTATTTTTCGGGTGCCCTAAAACTGCCAACGGCCTTCTGTTACGTACATCAACTCGTAAAAATGGAATTTTAGCACAATCCTACTACTCATAATAAAAATAAATATACAAAAATATGTATGCGTAGACACTGACGCGCTATGAGGTGACCAAAAGTTTGTCCAACTGAGATCGATATGTAGAAATGGGTTCAGTGATGTCAACCTGAGGTGGTACAATGTCGTTGTATAATGACTGTAAAACGAAAAAGAGGTGACGCACTACTTGGTGAACAAATATCAAAACAAGTACGCTGTCTCGTAGCGCGGAATGAAACATGAAAATTGATTTTACCAAAAAGTCATGAAGCGGTGATTGTGGTAAATGTTTTATTCAGACTTAATTAATTTAAAGCGATGACCCAAACGGCAAGCTTGAGAATGAAAAAACAGTGAGTGCGCAGGCGAGCTGGTGGATGTTGATCATGATGTAGAAAACCCGAGACTGTGGTAAAAGCAGGAAACCTTGGTTGAAGAAGAAGGACGGGGGAGACGTTCTTTTCCCCTGTCCTTCTTCTTTAACCAAGTTTCCCTGCTTTTACCACAGTCTCGGGTTTTCTACATGATGATCAAGCTTGAGAATGACAGTTCAATTACACAATTTAAGTTGATCAACATTTAAACAATTAAAACAGCTAATACCTTTATCGTAAACTGAAATTGAATGAAGCTGGCAGGTCTCTTGTGGATACGTGCTGAAGCGGTAACTAATATATGCACGCAATAAAGAAGCTGAAGAAACCATGAAAGCGGCTTAAGCAATAGGTTTACAAAAGGGAGGCCACCAATTTAAGAATATGTGACATTAGGAGGAATGATAAATTTTTTAGTAATTTTGTACTTGCTCGCTATTTAGTTAAGTATATTGGCTCTTTGCAGCCCGAGGCACAAGACCCCATGTATGTTGGAAATGTTCCTGGAAAAGTCAGCCAGGTAAGCTCTCTTGCAGCACGTCACTAATATAAATTTAAGAAGTAAATATTTAAAATTTTAGATGAGTGGAAATAGTTTTCTGGATGATACCTTCGCAAAGTTTCGACTATTGAAAAACAAAGTTGGTTGCATGAACACCGCACATGGTTCATGTTTTGAAACTAAGGCTTAGCAGCTAATTTCTTCACAAGAACGGTTGGAGATCGAAGAAAGTCGTATTTTTCGCCCATAATTTGCGAAGAAACGAAAGCGATGGCTGTAGCCCGGTCGTGCAATGCGGGTGGAATGGTGCCGTCACGTACCTGAGGGCGGAGTTTCGACGTGGTTAATTCTCATAGTCATCGTGGTTGGCGTCGCGGATGCCACTGCCGGCCGCCACTAGTGATCCTTTTAGTGGGTAAGCACGGTGGAAGTTTCTAAAACCATCCAACGTTACGTGTAGCAACTGGACACTGCCAAAGTGGGATTTCGCATAACGCGAGTAATGTTTGAAAACAAGTCTTTGAAGCCGACGACACGAAGATTCTCCCTTCGTCGCGCCCTTCTTGGCGGAACGCCAGGGCTGCTTTCTTCGCTCTCTTCGAGCGCGCGGCGACGGCAGCCCACAAGGTTGAAATCTCCGCAAAGTGTCACCCGTAAAGCTATCGCCCTAAAATTGTGGTCTCGGCAAACTCTGGTGAACGCGGCTAGTCTCTTGCACACGCTAGAGGATGACTCCGGCTAAGTCCTACACATACGCGCGGGAAACACTTGCGGCGGTCCCCGATCCTACCAGTTGTTTCTCCCATGGGAGATGTGCCTTTAATATCTCTTGCGGGAACCCTTAGAGGGAAGAGTCTAGTTTGTCAGATACCAAAAATTTTGTGTTTGTAGGATGTTTCAACTACTAAAGGGTACGTTGTTTTGTTGTAAGAATTGCTGTTTAAGGTGTTTTTCGTCCTTCTCGAGGTTCAGGGTGGTTAGCCTTCGAGCCAATATTGTTATGAGCTTAGTTTCAGTTGTCCGTCCTCAGTCAGTTTTCGGAGATGAGAAACGCTTTTATGCTCTCCAAAACAGAACTAAAAAACAAAACAAAAAAGCAAAACAAAGCACTCTTCATGTTGCGTATTTCAATTACAGAAAAAAGCTGCCACTGGAGCTGCCACAGTCTCGCTCAGGTTCAATGGACAAGCCAGTACTGCTCAGTATCAGGTAAGTAGTTAGTTTGTGACTGAAATGGGGCTGATGGCTGAAATGACCGTACTTACAAGAGACTCCAGTGTTATGCTTCGCTGCTAGAGATATCTTTCGGAGAGTATTCCTCTAGTTGTTTAAATATAATATATCGTTAATTGCAGGATGAATTCGAAACGCATGCCCCGTGCGTATTCTCAGAACTGTATAATTGCGTTCGCGATCGAAACTAACGCATAGCTTCACATATTTACATTTCCCGCTCTTCTTCAGTTACCAAAAGGTGATCCTGGTTTTTCAATGACACTGACCTTGGATCATCGACAACTCAAGAAAAAATAGGCGTAGCGAGTGCCGAACATCTTAATATTCGTACGGAGCCAATTATATTATATTATTAGCCGATAAGGTCGAAAAAAAAATCAGAAAGCAAGATTTGTGAACAGAATAGGTTACGCCCTGCGTGTTTTTAAGCTTTCATGGAGTTAACCACATTAAAAGCATGCCAGGGCGTTTAAATCTCTGTGGAGTGCGCCAGCCACTGTGACCCACGGACCGCGCCGGCGAAAGACGGTGCGCAAAACTTGGGAGGACTCTTAAGCTTCGCCTTTAACTAAGAGTGGAACGCGATAGCATTATCGGGCCCCGTTCGCATCGCCTTCTCATTCGCCTCTCGTGCTCTTCCTGCCAGGGAGGAGGGAGTGCGGTGCACACCACCTAGTCCGTAGAATGTCTGGCTCGCGACCGAAAGGTCGTGGGTTCGAATCCCGCCTGAAAGTCTTCAAACTTTTGCTTTAACGCAAATGAATTAATTCATAAAGTGAAACCATTTGAGACGTGCGGCGACCTTTAATTCGCATTACATGTCGTGTTTTTAATCAATGTCATTCCACGCGTGACGTCACGGTTCACATGAGCTTTGTGGGTTGTTTGAAGGCAGTGATTCTTTCGACGTTACTTCGAAATCATTTTCAATATTATTTTGACGTCCGTGACGTCACCTCCTGAAGACGTGGAAATATTTTCAAAACGAAATTTTGACGTCCCCCGTCTAAATAGTTTTGTGATTATTTTGACCTGTTATACTTAGAATTTGAGAGCTTCGGAGTACGGACCAGGGAGCGATCGAAAGTGGCGGTCAAACAAATATCATCTGGCTCGTGGGCAGCGTCGCGGTTCGACACGGATTTTCCGAAAACGAATGTCATGCTGTGTTTAAAGCCTTTTAAATAATGTAAAATGCAAAAAAACAAAATACACCTTCCTAAGGTACTGTAGCACGTAACGTTTGCTTGATCATGCCAAACATGACAGAATGCTTCACCGCTGCTTTTCACGATTTATTTCTGAATGCCGTGTCATAAAATTTGCATTTGATTGGAAAATGCGTTTATCGCGTGCAACCGCGCCAGAAGCTTTGTTTGTTCGTACCGGTCAAGAAACATCAAGGAGGCAGTGCTTGCATTCACAACCTTATATTTAACATTCCGATCGTTTCCTCGTTAACCCGCACGGTATAGACGAACCAAACAGGACATCTCAACTAAACGAACTATTCAAGCACGGTTAAAGACAGGGCGGGAGCCAGATGCAAAGCGAGACTGCAACTACTCGAAGACGCGCTCGCACAATATAAGGGAACAAAAAGCGTGCCAAATTTCTCATTGTTACGTAGCTTACCTTTATTACGCACAGTAAAGACAGAAGGACATCCAGCTCGCCTTTGTTGTGGATTCAATATTTTAAGTGAGACGCGTGCCGAGATGACATGCGAGTAAACACTCGGAACGTCGCAACCGGGCGTGTTGAGTCCGAAAGGATCAACCAGGATCAACTGTCGAGCCAGTCCTACAGAAACCCCGAATAACACATTTTCATTGCCAACTAGGACAGAAACTTGTTAGGCACGCAACACATGAATCTGTCAAAACGACAGCACAACACCGACAACACCATCAGGAACTAAACAAAATGAAACCAAAAAAGAGGCTACCACTGCGACGGCTGCATTGAAGGAAGACGTCAAAATTTGTCGTTCTAGGTACGTGACGTCACATGCCTCGAAATAATTTTTTTTTAAATATTTTGTCGGCTGACGTCGACACTGCCTTGTTTGAAATTTCCGCTCGAGGTCATGCGACTATGACGTCATGACCCTATCGACCAATCAGGAGTTTCGCGTCACGCCGCCTATTTTCTTCGACACGAGCTCCTTAACGCTGTCGCGTTAAAATCATTACGAATTGAAAAGGCGATTTGTGCAGGCAAGACGTCAAGCCTATTGTTCTTGCGTCCATTGCATCTTCGAGCCGAGCATGCACTCTTTGGGGTCCTCATCATTGGATGAATGCGTTTATTGGATCGCTGTGATTGGCTCACCAAGCCCACTGCCAGAAAGTAGACATTCCTTAAAGTGCAGGTGCGGTACTAAATAGAAAAAAATATATTGATTTTGTATTGATTGAACTTTATTCTCGAACTCGCGAAATGGCCTTGAGGTTGTTGATTAAACGAACCTGCTAACGGCACTTAATAAGTCGTAAAATGTGAAACGGTCTCATTATTTTCATGCTTCTCTGACTATTTTAGGAGGTGATGAAGCGGTTAGTTAATCGCTACATTCACCGTGCTAAGAAGCAGCTTCGTCAAGACGGCGTCAACGAGGATGACCTTCTAGAAATCAAACAGGATATTTCCAGTCTCAGGTACGTTCCTGGTATGGGTGGTACCACACATACGCGGTTTCCATATTCTAAGTCTGAAACCATCAGTCTTTTCCTGTATCCTTTTCAGCAGTTTTCTACGTGGAGCGTGATTGGTAGAACCTCATGATGTCGACTCTGACAGCTTACCATTTCTACCGAACCTTACTGATGGTTCGGACATTTCGATATGAGTCTAAAATGATCAACCAGGAAATATGGTTTTTAATCATGTCGTATTACACCTGAGACTGCGGTGGAAGAAATCGGAAGAACTTTCAGTAGAAGGAACAGACACAGAGAACGTCTCAAACTCAGCTAACTGGTTTATTTCTCAAACAGCCTTTAAGTACCCACGGAACTTTTTCCCAACCACACTCTACAGATAAACTCCTTTGTTGTAGACATTTTTTTTTTGATGTGCTTGTGATCGCGGTTTCGAGATCACTTGGGCATGTTTTCCCAAGGAAAAGAAAAAGGGGGAAAAAAAGTTGTTCTCTTTGTGGTCTCTTTATGTCTGGGTGCGTCGCCACGGCTTAGAAGCCACCTGTGTGCAGAGCTGGCCAAATTACTCATATTTTGTAATTAAATTACATTACTAATTACTTTGCTGAAAACTGCTGAAATGTAATTAAATTACATTACAAATTACTACAGCCAGAAAGTAATTAATTACCATTACAAATTACTTTTAAAAGTAATGACATTACTTTCGCATTACTTTTGTATACTTTTAAATATAAAGGAGCCATTGATAACTTCCTTTTACAAATAACTTTATTTACATTACTTACACAGTTCATGGCACACAGCTAGAACTCCCTGTTGCATGTTTACCGATGGACAGAGGAACGCACGCGACTGATCCGTTTCCCACTCCAGCCCGGACAACTATTTTTGGAAATGACTGAGGACCCTACGCGGATTATCTCTGGGAGGGGGAGAACACTTGTCATTGTTCGCAAAATCGCGTCGAGGGCCGTTCCACCAGGGGCCTTAGTTCAACCTACTTCCACTCCTTCGTTTCCCGAGAATGTCGAGCAGAAAAGCTCGAATGGAAGGCACTTACCAGCCCTATTTCTCACAGTGGACGATAACACAGAGAGGGTACGCAGTATGCATCAGAAAAAGTAAGCGGAAACTTTCAAGAGGGGCCAGAAAACGTCGAATGCAAAACCGCAAAACATGGGTAGAGAATCGCGCTGAGCGGGTTTTCACAGTTCAAGAGAGTGGCAGAAAATGTCTAGCTGATAGCGGGCGCGAGAGTCGCACCAGCCGCATTAGCATCAGCAACATAGCGGCGGCCAAAGAGCGTTTTTTGGAAAGGTGTAGAGGAAAAAGAAAAAGTAAAATAAAAAGAAAAGTGCCTTGTGTATTGTGGACACAAAAAATATGCCTGGTGCGAAAAAGTAATTAGGTAATTTAATTACAATTACAGTCGCTGGAGTAATTCATTACATTACTAAATTACCTGCTACAAAAAGTAATGAATTACATTACTAATTACTGGAACAAGTAATTAAATTACTGTAATTTCATTACAGTAATTACATTACTGTCAGCTCTGCCTGTGTGTGGTGTTTTTTTTTTTTATTGTGTGTGCGTTTTTACGCGACTGTTAGGATAATTCGGGACATATCTCTCTCAAGGTCACTGCGATGATCCGCAGTGTCCCTTTGTTAAGTCCTCGTCTCATGTGTGGGTTGTTTTGTATCTTTTGTATCCATCCGGTTCGAAATGTGTGCAACAAAGGAGTTTATGTGTAGAGTGTGGTTGGGAAAAAGTTCCGAGGGTACTTAAAGGCTGTTTGAGAAATTAACCAGTTAGCTGAGTTTGAGACGTTCTCTGTGTCTGTTCCTTCAACTGAAAGTTCTTCCGATTTCTTCCACCGCAGTCTCAGGTGTAATACGACATGATTAGCTACCACCAGCTCGCCTGCACTCTCACCGTCTTTTCACTAATGGTTTTTAAGTTTGGAATTGTAATGCCGCTACCGAGTCCGTTTTGATAAAACAGACTCATACCTGGGTCAGACGTACATTAAGGGCCTTCAGAACGAACTCCTTTAAAGAATCGGCGAATTAGCTCTCGATTTTGCGCTTATCGGCGTGCGCTTGTTCGCCGGACCTTTAAAAGAGTTCGTTCTTAGGGCCTTTAACGTGCCCGTCCGACCCAGGTAAAACTCAGTAAGCTTTGAGTGTAATATGTGATCTCTGGAGCTGTGGGTAAAAAGAGACAAACCCAAAGAGGCAAAAGAGCGAACACTTCAATCGGGGTCTCGCATACCAGAACCGCGTAAGTGTAGAACGAAGTCCTGCGAAGGACGGGCTTGCGTGTGAAGCAACATACTGGGTGGCATAATTATTGAAGAGTTCGAGAAGGATATCCATTCTGAAGGTGAATGTATGCACACAAAGTAACGCAATGTAAAGTTCGGACATCAAAAATACCCCACAGTAATGACCGGATTGGCGCAGTTGATGTATCAGTATAGATAAACCGACTGAGTGATTGGTTGTGTGCGGGTTCACGAGTTCAAAACGATCTAACATCAAAGAGAAAACATTGTTTACATGCCTGCTTGCCTAAATTCAGAAAAAAACACTGAGATAAAACGTGCTGGTAGAGCCTGAAAAATAATTTTCCGGAAGCCCCAGCGCGGCAGCCAAAACTTCTCAATCAAAATTAGCTCCTTCATCGCAAAAGTCCATTCCACGAAGAAACTACGTCTATGAACACAATGTCGGCCGCCACGAGATTCTAAGTGCTTGTCTACGTGGTCGCTACCGTAACGGAAATGGTAGCTGAATGAGTTCAACCATAGACGCAAGAAGCTTAAGAACGCAGGGAGTGGCTTTTATGCTCCCGTTCCTGGCTTTGTTATTCGTTCTGTGGCATTCTTGCACTCTTAATCTTGTTTCACTTCGGTTCCAGTTACTAACGGGAACTTTTTTGCAAAAAAGCTCCGCTTCACTAGGGGAAACTGTGTTCGATATACCTCTTAGTTTATGCAGAACAGCGTTTCAAATAAAGTTTGAAAGTGGTATATAAAACAGCTTCCCGCATATTGACGTCTGGAAATCTGTTCCACGTACAGTAATAAGAATGTCATGTGAAACAGTATTCCATGTATTGTCATCTGGAACAGCATTTCAGATAAAGCATGTCTGGTATGTCCCGTAACTTTGTTCCAGATATTTCAAGCCGTTCTTGTGAACCCTTATAGAATGTCACTATAAACATCATATAAAAACTGAAAGGTGCAAGAAAAATGCTGGTTACAACGAAATTTTCTGGATGCTATGGTATTCGGTCTCTGTAAGAGCAGGTCGGAAGAAGTCTAAGGGTCACAGTGCCTCACAAAATTAGAGCCACTATAGAGCCCTAATTTCTTCCAGCTAATGTTTACGGACAAATCTAAAATGACACAATCACATCTTATTGCGGCAATGGCAGGCTTCAAAAACGTGCGATTGCTATATGTGTTTCTAACAGCGAAATTTTGAATTTGACATGGCACAAACGATAGAACTGTGGATTTCAGTTCCTCTACTGGTATGAAAGATTATGACAGCTGTAGATTAGTTTCTCCCTGTAGTAACAGAAAGTAAAGCTCACAGCAGCACAAACTCTGGTGTAAAAAAATGTTTTCCTTGCGGCTTTTTTTTCCTTCTTTTTTGTACGTGATGTTTACAGCAAGATTTGTGATGGTCTTCAAGTTCGACTTAAAGAAATCCAGAATAATACGTGGCTTTCTTTTGGTTAGTGACAACTTTACTGAGTGAATGAATGCACACGTAAAATAAACACTATAGTACTATTTTCCTAGAGCCTCACTTGAAGCTCATTTGCTGTTGCTGCTTCGAGATGAGACCGACGAGGTTCCGGCACCAAACATCACAATCAAATCGAGACACCTTTTGCAGTGTCGCTACTCGGTGGTTTCGCGGTATCAGAAAACAGCAGGAAATGTGTCGACTGCGTGTTCTTAGACTTTCGCAAGGCATTTGAAGCGGTTCCATATCCATTATATTTGTATAAATTGACTTTTCTAAACATGGTTGCAAACGTCCTGAAATGGATGCGAAATTATTTAGAAGGTTGAGAGCAGCATGTTGTCCTAAACGGTACTATATCCACATCAACTCTGGTTACGTCAGGAGTGCCACAAGGGACTGCCTTAGGGCCTTTACTTTTTCTCATATACATAAATGACACCACCGAAATGTTACAGTCTCATATTGAAGTGTTTGCCGATGACTGCGTATTATACAGGGAAATAAACACGTCAGACGACCTTGCCATAGTAGAAACAGACATAAACGTGTTATCTTCTTGGTGTAATCACTGGAAAATGATCCTAAATCTAAGTAAATGCAAACATATTTGTTTCTTGAGAAACAAGCTGCACGATTTCTGAAGCTACATAATCAACGGTACAGTTTTATGTACTGTGTTCGAGTATGTTTACCTAGGAGTGCTATCTGCAGATTCCCTAAAATGGAACAGCTACATCGAACGTACAATCGGAAAGGCTAGTAAAAGGCTTCATTTTATATGCCGAAATTTTAGATCCCCGTCACGAAACGTTAAAGAAACACTTTATTCTCTTTGGTAAGAATTATCCTTGATTACGCGTGCGTTGTGTGGGACCCTTATCACGACTTCCTTATCAATAAACTAGAAAAAATTCATAAATCAGGCCACGCGCTTTGTAGTGACCAACTTTGACCCACATGCTAGTGTTATAGATATGAAAGCTATGCTGGGATGGGAAACACTCGAATGCAGAAGAAAAAAAAAAAACAAAAAAAACAAACAAACTGAGACTAAAATACTTCCACCGTGTTTTTCACAACACAAGATAAATTGATGAAGCCACCTATCTTACGAAGCCATCCTACGTCTCCTCCCGTTGTGATTAAAAAAAAAAGTTGGTGAACCCTCTTACAGGAGTGACAGTTTTGCTAATTTATTCTTTGTCAAAACCGCGTGAGAGTGGAACGACCCCCCGGAAGATACTGTGTCCATGGATGATAAAGAAGTTTTCTTTTTACACTTGTCACAGTGTCTTCAAAACCCCCCTTCAATAATGCCCACAGGCCGATGAAGGTACAATGTAAATAAAAATAAATAAATAAGCACGAGTTTATTGTTCGTGACACGGAAGCGCTACAGTTTGTGTTTAGATATAAAAAGAATCTTCCAAACAAGTTTCTACAAATATTAATATCAAGATCAAGATCGGAATGAACAATTTCGGATCTAGTATGAATCTGAAATTGGCTATAAACAAATGTTAGATTTCACCTGAGCAGGTGATTCTTTTTATAGACTAATTGTTTTCTGCATAATTGCGAATCCAGTGCCAATTAGGCATTTTTAATGCGGTCTTATCTGCATCCAGGCCCCATACCGAACCTAGCCCTTCGGCTCCAGTGATAGATTATAATAAATGCATCGTCACAATCGAAGCAAAGTGGTGATGCAGGCGAGTCGGTACATTCTTACTACTTCGTAAGGCAGTGCGCAATAAACAAGGACAGAGAAGGATGTCGAACAGATCGAGAGCTGCGCTCGTTCTATCTATAACCTCCTATGTCTTCGTTTTTTTTTTTGCGCTCCGTATTACGAAGTTGCAATTGAAATACAGAATTCGATAGGACATCCAGCAGTACGCAATGCCAATATTCACTGGGTGGTTCGACATTGCAAATAAAATTAAATGAGAAGTCGGCACTTCATTTAGGCTCGCCAAACACAAGTGCGACACTTTTCTCGCGGCAAGACTTTCATGAATGCCGACATCGTTGTTTTCTTTTTTTTTTTTTTTGTTACACGCTTTGAAATTTGATAACATGAACATATCAAGGCTAAAATGACAATAAAGAAGGAACACAAGTGATTTGTTTTAAACTATCTATAAGTTGGTTATACGGTTATACACAACACCCAACCAATGCTGCAAAAAAAGTGTGCCAAAACAAAACTGCTCTGTTGAACGGGAATAAAACTGCGAAACACGCTTGAACTTTTCAAGCCTCTAATCAGAAACCCTAAGGCAAATAACCATATTTACGGCGGCTTAAGCACCATGGCGATTGTAGACAAAAACCGACAGGAACAAAGCAAGCGTCCGTCGCCAAAAGGTTCGTGCGGGTAAAGCGGGTACTTACGATGAGAACAAGGGACTCAGAACATGTAATCCGAGTTCATCTAGATTACACAGCACAATCACGAGTGAAGCTGTTTGAAATACTCAGCGCAGAACAGCACAAACGGATCATGCATCACAGTAGCCCGGCACAAATGCGAAGTCGTCAGATTCGCTTGACGTGGTGACCATCACATAAACAAAACAGGAAATCCTCAACCGCCACAACTGTCGGCGCGTGGGCGCGTGGACGCGCCGCACGCTGCAGCAGGTTTCTCACCCTGTAACAATGCGCGATGCCTGCTTTCGAAACTCTCGAACCGGTCGAACCATCCCACGGAATCCCCCAAAACAAAGCAGGGACCTTCACTGGAACTATTGTTTTAGTCGTAGGAAGGACGTAGTAATCAGATTCCCTTTTGTTTTGTATGTGTTTTGCTGCTCTTGCCGGCGCCTCTCTGACTGCTGGCCGCCTCCTTTGGTGTGTGTTTCTTCTTGATTTATTTATCTCGTTTTTGCTATGCCTGCGTGGATTTGCCACCAAAAGATTCTAACTAGAACGAAGCAAAAGTAAAAAAATAACAAAAAAATACACGTTCTCGAGGTTTTAACTGGAAGAGATTGGCGCGAAAGTGCAGCAGGATAAGTGGAACGACCGTCTAATCTGCATAACACCTGCTGGTTCCACATAACAAAAACAAAAATAAAACGAACAGAACTGGCGTGCCACATATATTACCCGATCCACATAAAATATTGACGAGGTCCAGAAAAAAAAATATATGTGGAATGCTAATTGAACTCTAACCTATGTGGATCCAGAGTAAAAGTGTATCGGTGAATGCCGCAATATTACTGGTTACGGGGCAACGACGAGATCTTTAGGACTCGTCACACGCCCCGGGTTTCTTAAGATGTCGGTGACCATAGAGTTTATCTATTTGCACGCTATCCTATACCAATGAGTTGCCTTTGGCTCTCGCACAGGTTCGAACTCCGCGAGGATCGAAAACGCGAAGCGGCGCTCAGCGTTCGTCAACTGGACACGTTGCGCCGAGACATCTTCAAGGGCGGGCCCTTGCAATCCACGCTCGAGGTGCCAGGGCCACCCCTGCCGATGCAGCAACCGCCACCCAGTCTGTCGCCCTACTACGGCCTCCTCTCGCCCGAAGAAGTGGACCAGATGCGGCTTCAGATTGTCAACAGCGTCCGCGAGGAACTGCGTCACCTGGCCCGGGAACTGCACGTCCAGCACTGCCATCGGCCGCCGTACCAGGCACCGCCGGTGCCTCCTGCTTCGAGGCCGGCACCTCCGCTTCCTCCTGACTTGTATCAGACACACCTCTTCACACAGTTATGAGCCTGGTCGCGAAAGTAGCAGGACACCCGCTTGTTCGACCATTGTTTCTGTGGTTCACACTGACACGGGCCCCGTCTGGACACAGTTCATCTGCTTTATCTGCAGTGCTCAGGGTTGACACTGTTAAGAGTCTGGCCGGGACGGCTGCCAAATATCAGCTTTGACCATGACATGCACAGTCCACACTGAGGGCTGTGGCTACGGTTGAGATTGATCCTGGTATAGATGATGAACATCAGCATTAATCAAGGCCCCCATGGTGGGTGCGGAGAGTTGAAACAGATCTGTCTTAGGCGTGCTGTGCACGGCTCATACCGTCACTACGTTGGTGCTGACACTTTGAAAACAACAGAAAGAATCACGATACCGGGGTCGAAACTTCTACGTGTTTTGTGACAAGGGTTGGCCGACTCCCGTTTTGCACCATGGTGAACATGGTCCGCTCTTTCCATTTTGACCACGGTCTCCAGAGGACCCAGGACTTGCGAGATCTTCCTTGGTTACAGGCAATATCGTCGCTTGTACAGCTGACACGTTACCAGAAGCCGTTGCGTAGCAATACTGTATGGTCAGCTTTTGCGCGCCAGTGAGCCGAGCTTGCTTTTGCTTAAGGGTCCGGACGGTCCGCTAGACTTGCATACTATACGCAGGTCAGCGATTCCACAGCTGAACACTTTTACCCAGAAGTCTTGGGTTGCAGCTTTTCTGCCACCTCTTGGCGGTGCGTTGTTGTCAAGCATATTAACTAAGTCGTTATTCCTGCTGGTGATTCATTGTGGCAGGGTCGCTGAGTTGTTTTGATTGCGTCGGAACGTCCTGGTGACGTACCAATTTTCATTGATGCACCATTTGCATATTTTACGGTCTCGACGATTGTTGTGCCCACCTACATTGAGCCTGGCCGTATTCCTCTATTGGGCGAACCTAACGATCAAGAGTTTTTGTTACAGACTTACTACCAACCGGGTTACGCATTTATATGATCCATTTATTTCAAGAACCGAGCCTCCATTGTTTGTTGAGTTAAGCTAAAGCAGATGCGTGTATACCCGCGTGCCCACGAGAACTGCGCTTTATGTGAAGTTTTAGCTAATTAATATTATAATTTTCTCGATGCTTGTTTCCACTCTGCTATTAAATGGGCTGCTAGAAATCTTGTGAGTCACCACGATGCTCGTGTTTTGTAAATGACAGATCCCAACCCTTAACGTCGTAGCCCTTGAATATGAAGATTTACCAGATTCTTGGAGACGCGTGTCGGAGGTGACGAGCGCGCACTTTGTGTAGCATTAGGTTGGTGTAGACTGGCATGTGTAATCCGTGCGCTTTTCGTAGACCGTTTCCATTTACCATTTAATACTCACAGCGTGCCGTTTGCCTCCTGTCGTCTTTGACCGAACAATTCCAGCTTAAGAGAATTAATCCTCGTTGTAGGCGTAGGGGATGACATATATATAGCTCTGGAATTACGAAGTACCACCGCAACGGTGAATCGCCAGACGTAGTACACAAGTATATTGAGCAACTTTAAGGATGAATGACTTTTAAGGAGGGGGCCAGGAACGACAGGGCGTACTCGACGCAACCACAGAAACGTCGGTAAGGGGCGGGTGACGCCATTCGCTATCCCACCAATGAGAGCACGGCACTGTCATTCCCGACTTCCTTACAACGTACGCCTGTACTGAGATAATATTTAAGGCTAGTTACGAGCTACGTACAGTCTGTACAGACCCAGTACTGCAGCAGTATTTTGACAGCGTTTTTTGGTAAACGCTCCCATAGGGGGCGCCCTCCAAAGAGGTTTCGCTTCTCGCCTTGTCGTTAGACCTGCTCCGTCACTTAGCAAGCAGTCCAGGTGTGATTGTTGTGAGACCATCGCAGTTACCAGACCAGTGTTGTTCCCGATGTCATGACCATTCTGGCAACATATACCCAAGTGTTCTTTGTAAGAAGGCCAATGAAAAAAGCCATGCACGTAGGCAGATGGACGTTTACAGTCACTGATAACTTAAGAAACGCAGGGCACGCCCAAAGCTAAGAGGCATGAGCATGCATGTTTATGCCTCTTAGCCTTGGGACTCGTTCTTTGGCGTCCTAATCGAGCAATGCCGCAATTTCGCTGTTTGCGGAACGATATAACAATGTGCAACACTCGCTACGCACTCCGCTTTCTAAGATATCTGTGGCTGTACATCTCGACTTGTTCTCAATTTGAAGGGTTCTCAACTGGAGTCAGACGTCTGTTTTTGTGACTACGGTCTTTCATTTCTTCTCTTTTTTTTTCGCCGGTCATTGTACGCAATTTGGAAAGAGGCTTTGACGTAGACCTGTGTGTACTGATGTCACGTGGACTTCGGGGTAAGCGTAGGAGACTCGATCGCTTGTAGATTTGACTTCCATGTTGAGAGCCCCGTTTTCAAGACACGCACAGGCCTAACAAATACTTCAGCCAATCAACAGAAAAACGTGTTTCTATAGATTGAACGTATAGAGTCTTCCTGGTAGCAGACAGAATGCCGTCCCCCCGTTCAACTAGAAGGCAATATGGAGCCAAATCAAGCTACTGCGTTGCGGAGTTTGGCGGCAGACAAGTAGCTTGAACGGCAGCAAGACATTTTGCGGTCCATTAGATAGCTCGTGTGAAGGTTTATTTCCTCACGCGAGCTAAGGATTTCATCAACTAAACTATACTGATTATCGGTCGCTGACTTTGCGCCTACCAAGAAATAAAATAGAAGCAGTGGCACGGAGGGGGCATGACACATGTGAACGTCATGCTTGATTTTCTTTGGTGTATGACTTCCTATGACTGGTATTAGTGTCAAGAGCAAGCTGTTTCAACGCGTTCAGATAATTAACCTGCAATATTATTCGAGACTTCCGTGTTGCTTACTCTTTTTTGTTACTTATATCAACCTCCCGTAACATAATCACGTTTCATCTTGTGTTTAACATTGAATTGTTATTTTTCCTGAGGCTGCAGTCGTAACCTGCGCCAAAGGAAAGAAAAGCGTTGAATCTTCCGACTCTTTGGACTGGCAGTAAATCCGGAGAATTACCGATCATACTAAGTTAAGGCGAGGGTGATAACCGCCTTAGCTAAAAAAAAGGTAGAGTTCGAGTTTAATATAATTAAATATTAGGGTTAAGTGGGCGTTAAGAACGGGAAATAAAAACGCCGCGAAGTAGTGAGATAAATTCAGATTGCTTTGTATTTGTTTCGATATATTTGAAAGAGAGAGAGAGAGAGAAAAAAAGAGAAGAAATATCACGCCTCTTTACGTCAAGATAGTGTTCATGATTGACTAAAAGTGTGAAATCTTGTATAAATTACATACTGGAGATGCTAAATGCAGCAGCTGAACATTACACAGTTTCAAAGGCGTGGGACATCCAGTGTAAAAAGAACATTACATGCAATCAGCTGTTTGGTCGTGGTTCTATCTCCAAAATCATCGGTTTGCTCGCGGTCTTATGACCAAAATCGTCCATTTGATCGTGGTCCTATAAGAAAACTAGGCCAGGTGTTTTGCTTTTTTTCAGCAGAACCACCTACTAGCAGTCGATTCGGTTTGTGTGTAAATTATGACTAAACATAAAGCTTTTTTTATACATGTCAACGCGACTGATAAGATTTCCAAGAATCTCAAATGTCGGTTAATTATTTGCTCATAAAAACTACAGTAAAAGGCGTCAAAGATTCATAAATTTGGACATATAATTATGATTTTTCTATTTCTTGACTACATTACCTGCTAAAATGCAAATGGTCGTAAGACCTAGTGATGCATATAACGCTTATTTGTGATGTTTTCAGATAAAATACTGTCAGAGCCCTGACATGTGACAAAATTCACGACACCTCGTGCTCGGCATTCACAATTCGTTACATTGAATAATTTTTATGTAATGAAGAATGAACAAGGGCGCATGGTATGTGTCTTCGTGCGCTTGCATTTTGGCCGATTCGGAACGTTACGAAGCAAAATTAGAAACGCGGAATCGAATAAAAGCGTAGAATAACATGCCACAACTTGTGAAAGTCAGCTAACCCTATTTCAAGCAAGCAGAGTTTTCGAAATTTGCATGTGTCACGATCAACGAGAAAATAAATGTTTTCTCCTTTTCACCAATGCTTTCCTTGTGCCAACGAAACAATAAAATCAGGCATTCGTGCTGAACCAGCACACGCGCGGTCTTTTAACAGGTCGTAGACCAACGATGGTGCGATGTTGCCCATGGTGTTCAATATACACTCTCAGCTATTCGGAGCGTCAATGCGGAGCGCTAGTTCGTCTGCTTCTTTTGTAGGGGGTTGTGGTGACGTCAGAACGATGCCGAGCTCTGATTGGCTCTGATTGAAGGATAGTGGATAAATCTCAAGGCAGCTTGCTTTGAGGTCTACCCACTATCCTTCAATAGGAGCCAATCAGAGCTCGGAGTTATGACGTCACCGCAACGACTTACAAAAGAAGCAGACGAACTTGCGCGTCGCATACTTGGGAGAGCCAATGACAGCAATATCTGGAGGGAGCTAGGTGAAAGACGAGAAGAAAAATATACTGCTTTGCGGGAGAGCATGGACGCTCGAGATTTTTTGGATTGTACTGTTAAGACTCACATGTTCCACGTTGTAATTACTTTGACTACATGTTGTTTGGAGAGGCAGGATACCGACTTCACGTTAATGTACATAAGACTAGCTGTAGGCATAACGTTGTTTGGAGTAAATCCCGTGTAACACACTCAAAGCATTTAAAGGTGTGGATCCAGACGAAAGAAAGCAAAACGATAGCAGTCTTGTTTTTGTGTTTGTGCCGAAAATGTTAAACAAGGTCAACCGGAGTACAGTGCAGGATACGGTTAGTGCGAACATGACGCGAATACGACGTGGGCGTTCTTTTGTTTCCCTAGGTAGACTGGTAACTGAAGAGTAGCCAGTTGTAAGGTTTATGCTGGTGCATCCAAGGAGCACTTTGCACCCCGCTACAGTCGCCGACAATTTAAGAAATGCAGGGTGTTTAACGTTCGCGGTTCTTGTTAAGTGATTTGTTCTACGGCGTTCTTACGAGCTAATGTCATAACCTGATTGGCTGGAGAACGAAAATAAGATGTCCGGAAATCTGCACGTCTTTCGTTTCTTAAGCTGTCAATGACGTCACTGCCAGCTTAAAAAACACAAGGCGTTGCTTATGTTCACCCTGTATCTCTGTGATCGGCTCTTTGGTGTTCTTATGGGCCGATGCTGCGATCTGATTGCCTACTAAGTGATAATAGGACGCTTTGGAGTCGCCAAGCAACCTCTCAAATATAAAGAAAATAAGAACACAATGTACCGGTTATCTCTTGTTCGTGCTGGCCGTGTCATGCAGTGAACTTTTTTTTGGTTGGGCGGTGCTCGTTGTGCTGTTTCGTGATACCATTCGTGTGGGCTTTCACGAAACGCTAAGCTTCCACTTCTGTATATGTTTGTTTCGAGCGATTGTTGATTGTGGTTACGATTGTTTAAAGTTCAATAGGTCTTTTGGTTTCTACAGTGTCGTCTTCTCACAAGTTTTAGGCGTATTTTATCTCACTTGTTTTCAACTTTGAAGCGTGTTTTTGTAATGGTTTCATCGGTTGACATCTGTTCTGTTCTTTTAAAGGAGACATGGTTTCTAAAGAGTGGCGTTATTAAACTATTAAGCAACATTGAGGGACTTTGGTTAGATGCCGTGTTCGACAGACGCAAGCCGCGATCCAGGAACACTATGGTACGTATGTTTTTGTTCGTCCTCCCCAACGAATATAAACCTCGGGAGTAAAACGAAGTCCTTTAAATGCAATACAATACAATACAATACAGTTCACTATAATAGAAGGGTAGCTCACAAAGTAAGGCCCCACATTCGAATCAAGGTAGAGGATGAGGATGAGATGAACCATTAAAGACGTTTGCTCTTTTTCTTGTTTTCTCGGAAACTTAATATTCAAAATAGTTTAAGTTGAGACAGAATATTACAGCACTTTTCCTGCTTACACTGTTTTTTGTTTTTTTACATAATGTAAGCTTAGTTGTACGGCTTTACGCTAGTGTGAAACGAGGACATGCATGCCTTCTTTGTGCCAGCTGGCTTCCCGCTCACACTGCCATGCTCTCACTCCACGAATAACGCTATCGTTGTTTTCATACTTGACCCCAAAATATGAAAATCTGTTGGTGTCAAATCAGGACTGTGGTTGGAGATCGAGCAGCACAGTCCAACAAAAGTTGGTCATTGCCTTGTGTGTTTTAGAAAATCGTCTGAGGACGGACATTGTTGCCCTGGATGAATGACCTGTCTCGGATTCCTCTTGTGACGCACACTCCGGTTTCGTCGACAATTGGCGTGGCTCTTCCTTCGCTGACTGAATGATCTAGGGCCAATTGTCGGCTTATGATGTGCAAATTTGGTTAAATAAATCCATCGGCACACTGCACCATATCTGGCTTGATGGTGGTAACAGGACCCTCAGAATGCGGCCAATGATGCTGCTCCGCTGTGTGTCGCAATTTTCGGATGCCTTAACTCTTTTCGCCCAGCGATGACCGACCTTGCGGCTATCGATTGCAAAGCTTCCATACAAAGCTCACAAACGGTTATTAAGTTTTGCCGCAGTTTTTTCCCCCGCCAATAGGAACTCAAAAAGAGCTCGTTGTTTGTGGCGCATACCGGACAAAGACGCCACTTCCTCGGACGATTACAACAGCCTCTTTTGTACGACGACCGTAAAATTACCTACATGTATGCAGAAAACTTCGATGTTGCAACCTGTAGATTTTTGTGTTCATATTTTTATTTTGGTGCGAGAAAACAAAAATGTGGGGTATTACTTTCTGAGCAACCCTCGTGCAATACAATAAGACGATATTTATTTTATGAAATAATAACTGTTTTGCATGTATGTTTATCCGGCCCGAAGTTAGCGTTAATGGGCGACTGCTGTCTTAGCTGTAGATGCGAAATTTAGCCAGTCGGTACAATTGCTAGCCTAGGGTCTTTAACGTGTTAAGAGGGCAAGTTCGGATAGTGCACCACGCTGTAGTGACGCGCGACCCCACGCCGGTAAGATGAACATTAAAATAGAAACGACAATGGTGTGGGCTGAACCCAGGATATATATATATATATATATATATATATATATATATATATATATATATATATATTTTTTTTTTTTTTTATCAGCTGATAAAAAAAGGCCAGAAAAAGCTAAAGCTGTGAAACTTCTTGATAAGTTCCTGACCCCTACCACGATAACACGATAGGCAGATAACCGCTAAAGAAAAAAGAGAAGAAAACCAACGACAGAAGATTAATAAATATAACACTTTAAGCTTAAATCACATTGAAACTCATGGGGCTCGATGATAAAATTAAAAATATCAGCAATGAACAAAAAGTATGCGCAGTTTAATAATGGCGCGCATTTATGAATGATACGCTTAAAATGCGCCAAATTGTGAGTTACGTTGCGTAATAAGGACGATGATTACTACCACACGATATTGAGGACCAAAACAAAAATATGGTTTCCGACTCCTTTATTTTAACAAAAGTGCCGTCATTTAGCGAGGAAAAAAAATTTGAAACAGAAAAATTCCACAATTCAAACGTTGTTTCCTCTTTTTTTTTTTGATACATAACGAATGGAAGTTTCAATATGCGCAACTATTTTAACGGAAAATAAACCGGACTTAAAAAAAGAAAACATAATATAAAAGCGGGCTTTTACCATTTCGCATTATAATGTGTTTGTTCGAAATATGTGTATAAAAAATTCGATAAAAGGAAAACAGGAACAAACTTAGACAGACTGGGAAATTTTTAACATTGGCTGGAAATATTTTTGTGCTCATTACCTGAGCATTTTAAACCTGCGTTACCAGCCTCAGTCAGTTTATTTATTTAGTCCCACCAATATCTTATGCTGCACTAATGGATATATGGCTGACATACATGGTAAGAGAGTAGCGCATAGGAGACAGGACACAGAAGAAGCAAAACACAGTACGAGCGCTATACTCTGTTTCATACTTTGCGTGCAACGCTGTTGAAGCTGCTAGCGCGAGCGCGTGGCTTCAGGTATTGCGCGAGAACGCGTGGAAATGATCAACGAGATCAAGCTCCATGCTCGCGCCAGTAGCTTTGACAGCATTGCACGCTAAGCATGAAACAGAGAATGCTAAAAAGTGGACTGACGAGCTAGTTGGTTGTTGACAAACATGCTTCCCCGTACAATTTAGAAGAAGAAGAAAAAAAAAAGACAATATTAGCTTTACTACGGTCGTTATTGTTTAAATCAATGGAGGTGTCTCCTTCTTGGAGAGTTATACTTTATCAACATTTGGCCGGCCTCAGGCAAACTCATCCGACAATTTTAGCCGATTTCGCGGAGTTATTTCTTACCATTTGCGCCAGCTCTAGAGCGGAAATCATCATCTTGTGATTTCGGCCGAGTCGGTGACGGATCGCAGAAACGCGAGCTCTATTCCATCGAGTGCCTAGAAATTCCGGGCTCAGTATAAACACCCGCAAATCTTCGACGTCGAGAAGCCGCAGCAAACAATTCGTATGAAGCAAATAACGAAAAGGCAGGTGAGAATGTACACTCAGCAACACTGTTAGCGCGAACCATGACAGCGACGCTTCTTCGCGCCGTATACTTTGGAAAACAAAGTATTAGCTGACGTCGAATTTGGCAGCTTCAGCTTGTGTCTCAAATAAACACATTGCTTCACGCAAAAAACACAAAACAAAAAACAAAACATAAAAAAAACAGTGTTTTTTTTTTGTTTGAGAGCGTAGCGTCGAGTGCTTGTCAAACATCGTAAAACCTAGCTCATCTTTCAAAAGAAACGCAAAAAAAATCGACAACTAAGACGACCGAGCGCTCTCTCTCGATCTTCTACGGCTAACTGAAGGACCTCCCTCGCCAGGTAAACGAACAAACATTGTTCGCGGAAACGTTTTAGA